TTTGATTGGTCTTTTCCCCACCTCCTCTAAATATTTGTAGACTTGTGTAGTCTTCAAATGCTCTTTCCCTGTGTCCCACAGTGTGTCCCACCCTCCAGCCAGTGTCTCCCATCAGTGTGTGAGGTGTTCCAGAGACATTCTGTGTCCCACTTTGTCCCAGATTTCCTGGCAGGCACCAGGGAACCTGCATGGTGTTAAGTGATCAGAGGGTTTTCTGCATCCTCACAGGGAAGGGCACTGAGGTGCAATGGCAGGAGGGGACCCAGAGTGACACCCCTGAGGGTGACACCCCTGAGGGGCTTCATCTCTTACAATAAACACGGTCTCAGCAGATTTCTGGGAGTGATGGGGCTGAACCCAACCAACAGCAACGAAACACTCTGGCCAAGAGAACTGACACTGGAATGGTGAATATTTCCCCAGTTTTACCAGCTCTGCCGGAGGAGCTGTGGCAGCTTTCTTCCACAAGTTGTGGGAAACAGCCCATTTGTCACCCTGGAGCTGACCTGCCCTTCCCAGCAGAACTTGTTTCCTCCAGTTTGGGGGCTGCAGGGAAAAATGTTTTCCAATTGCCTGTTTGGGAGCACTTTGCTCCCATCTTTCAGATTTTTGATTTAATCAACTGCTTTTCTTACATCTTCATCAGTATATCTGATAATTAGCTGAAAGTGATTGGAAATTGTGGCTGGACATTTTTATATTCGGCTCCCTCTTGTGCTCATTCCATCCTCCTGCTGACTCCTCTCTTCCCATGTTTTTCCACAACCTTTAGCCAGCAGGATGCTCTCACATCTCACCCACAGTGCTCAGGTGGAGCTGAAATTAAATGAAATGTGCCTGCCCATCCCTAGCAGAAGTATCACTCCTTGGAGGAATAAATTGGGAACTAAACAGGAACTCTGCCAGGCAGAGCTGGCACCAACCCACAATCCTGATAATTGGGTCTGCATGGGGAATGGCTGCCAGGGGAGGCTCAGCACCTGCCCAGAGCAGATACAGACAGAGCATGAGTGGGAAGGAGGGGGAGAAGATTCTTACCCTGTGCTGTGGCACTGGGCAGCCCCTGGGCTGAAGAGAGCAGAGTGGGAATGATGGAGAAGTGTGAGAGACAGGCACTCCAAGGATGCCAGAATCCCAGAATCAATTAGGTTGGAAAAGACCTTTGAGATCATTGAGTCCAACCCATGACCTGACACCATCTTGTCACCCAGAGCACGGCACAAGAAGGACTGTGTGACATCCCTGGGAGAGGGTGGCACAGGTCACTTCAGACTTACAAACTGCACCCAAATTCTTCCCAAGAAGTTTGGAGGAGCAGCAGGACTGTCCGGATGTGTATTTGTGATAATCTTTGTGTCTTGGCGTGGAGTGAATGCCCAGAGCCCTCAAAATGCCATGAAACCAGAAACCTTTGTGTGTGCAATGGGCAGCTCTGGGAGACTCCCAAGTGTCCATGGTAAATAATTAGACCCTTAATTACAGGTTGCCCACACCATCTCAGTGATAGCTTGTGACTATAATTCACCTATGCTGTATTCCCTCAATTCCTGTTTGTATCTGCAAAAGGGCCTGGAATCCTGCCCAGGGGAAAAAGATTTTTTTTTCTTTCTGTTTTTATGTCTTTGAGTGTTTCTGGGCATGAAACATCAATTTACTTTTATTGTTTTTTCATAATTTTTTGTCAGCTTGGCTAGTGCTGGTGACTGTAATATAACTGCATTTCAGCTCTGCCTGTGCAATAATTCTACCTGGACCATTAAAACCAAGTTTGCTCATTAGCCATGAGGGGCAGGGGTGGGTGTGCCAGAGCACTGCATGTTGAGGAAAAGTGCTTTTCAGGACAATGAGTGGACAATGTGGATAATGTGAATTTGGGGGATATAATGTGAATTTCTACTTCAGGCTCTGAGAGAAAAGGGATGAAAGGTGAGGGCTCCATGGGCTGGAGGCACAGGGAGCTTGGAGCAATGAGGGCAATGAGGAGCTTGGAGCAATGAGGGCTGGGGATAAGTGGGACATAACTGCAAAAGAGAATGGGAGCAAAGCCCTTATAAATGAGGTGTAGCTGCAAGAGAGAATGGGAGCACAGCCATCCCTTAATGTATATCAGATATGAGAGTGACCCTCACCTGAGCTGATACTCCTGAAGTCAGAGTCCTTGCAAAGGGGAAGAAGTCATCGTAAGGAATGTCAGGTTAGAATGGGAGCACAAGCACCACCTTGTTTTGTTTTGAGCTGTTAATCTGTGACCCTCATGTCTTCAGGGCAATGGTGGTGAGCAAGTTGAGAACTTGTCCTTACCTGAGAGAGGTTCTGGAAGAGTTTCCCTTCCAACTGAAGAGGTGCTCATGACAGATGGGCCTGGGTTCATCCCAGCCAGCTGGGGGCTGGGGATTTGTAGAGTGTGATTCATCAGTTTATCCCAATTTTACCCTTTGACATGGAGGAATCCACTCTGCTGACTGGAGTCATTAAAACTAACCGAAAAAGGAGTTCAAAGGGTTTGAAGTTCTGAGATGTAGGTGTTTATATTTTGCCAGATTATTCTCATTCTTAGTGGTCCAGAGTCTTTTAACTTGTAGAGTAACTACAGTTTAAGGGACACTATAACAATATTATGTGGTTTCATTACTGCTCCTTAGGGCAGAATTTGGTCTCTTAAACCAATAAAGTGAATTTTGTTTTTGTCTGGTTTTGATGCTGGGAATGTTAATGAAGCATTTTCTATTTGTTTGGTTCCCTGATGAGTAATTCAGAAAACATTTTTAAGTCCTGTGTTTCTATAGGCTGTTGCAGACACATTGAGTCACTTTTCAAAGCACAGATCAGTGGAATGTGAGCAGATGGGCAGAGTTTGCATGTTTGATGTACGGATTGTGGAGCCAGTCTCTGACATGGGTGAAATAACAGTGGGATATTTTTAAATTCAGCAGCAAGCATACACAAAACCTTAAACATTATTCATAGTGATAACTTAGATTCTGTGAAAGTTCAAGTAAAATAAAAGGCAAATTCACACAGAGCTGTTAGAGCTGGTGTAAAACACCTGCTAATTGAGTCAGGTCACCCTTGTCATCCCCCTCCCTCCTGGTGACAGAGCAGGTTCTGCTCTTCTCAGGATGCTCCTGTGGCACCAAGTTACAAAAAGGAGCTTGGACTGAGGATTGTGACTCTGGCTGCTCTCCATGACTGAGTGGACTACCCCAGAACTCCACCTTTTCCTGTCTGCCATGCATGGCCTCTCCCAGATCCTCTGCACAGATCTTTCCAGGTCCCCTTTCCCCTCTCTGTGCCAGGGAAGGGTTCTCCTGCCCACACTGAGCTCCTGTTCACCTTCCCAGGGTGAGCCAGGCTTTGGTGAAATAAGCTTTGCTGCAGCACAGGAAATGGATTTGACTCAGGAGTGGCAAAGAACATGATTTGCTGTAAATGAGAATGAATTAGAGCCCCCAAAAGCTGGTGAACAGGTGTGAGGGTGACTCACTAGAAAATATTTCTTGGTGTCTGCAGTTCTGATGGAAAACTAAAACATCTCCAGCTTTCCATCACACAGATGGAGGTTGTCCAGTGTGTTGCTTTCTCTTGGCCAATGAGTGACATGGGATATAATTCCTAATTTTTCTTGGAAGCTTTTGAGGCTAAACAATCACATCTTTTGTTTCAAAGCAAGAAGGACAGCCCCTCACTGGCTCATAGCCCTCACTCAAAAGAACCAGAATTAGACCACTCCAGGATCGTACAATCAGACATCCCATCCCATGGGCTTGGCTGTGTCAGGAGTGTCATGGCAGTGATATTGTGCTCAGGAAATCAGCACCAAATGTGTCTGCACTCATCCCTCTGGGCGTGACCACACAGGACAGTGGCATTTCCACAGGTTTTATTGCTGTTCCTATAGCCCAGACTAAATACTGGACACATGGCGTTGTACAAGGTACGGGATGTGATCTTCTACAAAGTCCAGAGGAAACCAACACAGCAGCAGCTCTGTAAGGCAAGGTTTGCATAGTTCCAGGTGCTGATCAGGGAACTGAAATTATCTGAGAAAAGGCAGAGAATTTCTGGGCCTTCAATGATGGTCTCTTTATTCAAAACTGAAGCTGAAGAACAGCCCACAGAGTGAAAGCACTGAGAGAACCAGAGAAAAGGGTTTTTTTCTCTTCCTCTCTGGGACATGTCCACATCCAAGAGTCTGTGTGGACCAGCAGCAGCAGGATATTGCTCTGCAGGAGGATACACTTCATACCAGAACATGCACTTGGAAGGGTCTTTGATTGTGCACATTTTCTATAAGACCTTGTGCAGTGCCCCTGTCACACTTCCCTCTGGATTTCCCTGCTGTGCAGCCTCTGCCATGCCCTGCAGTTTGGATATTCACTTTAAGGTCAGAACTATCCTGCCCTGCTCCTCTGCTTGCTTTTATTTCAGCTCCACCCGGGGCTGAAACCACAACATTCCCTAATTTTGGAGAGGCATTGAGGAGCCAGGACTGTGAAGCTGTGATGGTCCTGTCTGCCCTCGTGTCTGACATTGTCCTCATCACAGTGAGGTGGTGTTGGCCATTGACAGCACAGAATCATTGATTTACTGAGGTTGGAACAGAGAACTTCAAGGTCATCGAGTCCAACTGTTCCTCCAGCAGTGGAGGAACCACTAAACATCACCCCAGGTGCCACATTCACACATCTTTTGAACCTTCAGAGATGGTGGCTCTACCACTGCCCCATTCCAATTCCAACACTCTTTCTGAGAAAAACACTTCCAAATATCCAACCTACACTTCTGTTGGTGCAACTTGAGGGTGCTTCCTCTTGTATTGTCTGTCCCTTGTTCCCTGGAGCAGAGCCTGACCCCCCTGGCTGTCCCCTCCTGTCAGGAGCTATGCAGAGCCACAAGGTTCCCCCTGAGCCTCCTTTTCTCCAGGCTGAGCCCCTTCCCAGCTCCCTCAGCTGCTCCTGGTGTGCCAGACCCTTCCCCAGCTCCATTCCCTTCTCTGGACACACTCCAGCCCCTCAGGGTCTTTCCTGTCATGAGGAGCCCAGAACTGACCCAGGATTCGAGGTGGGGCCTCACCAGTGCCCAGCACAGGGGACAATCACTGCCCTGGTCCTGTGGTCACACCATGGCTGGGACAGGCCAGGTGCTGTTGGTTTTCTTGGCCACCTGGGCACACCTGTGCTCATGTTCAGCCACTGTCACCAGCACCTCCAGGGCCAGGCACTCTGCCCACACCTGGAGTATGGCCTGGGGTTGGTGTGTCCCATTTCCCTGTCCTGCCTGCCTTGGTATGGTGCAGGCACAGGAAGGGATAATGAAATACACCAGTGACTCTGCAGGTGCAGGGGCACTGTCACCAAGGTGGTGCTCTCCAGGCTGATGCACTTTCCCTCAGATCTTCACTCCCAGCTGCAGAAACCCAGTGGGTATGTTTGCATGCAGACATCCTGCCCAAAACATACAGAAAGGTTCCTATGACTCCTGAATTTCCACACCATGCTCACACACTTTCCTGAATACTGAGACCATTACAGAGCTGACTCCAGCTGCAACATCCCACCTTATGTTCCTGTGCCCCTTCACCCAGCAGTGAGCTTCAGCTCCTACACTGCTCCCACATCCTTTGAAGGACCAGCCAAGGAGCCAAGACAGAACCACATTGCTCTGCACTTTTCAAAGTTTATGATCCAGAAGAGAAACAGACCCTCACTCCCCAGGGATCCCAAGCAAGGCCTGGTGTCAGTCTGGTGCCACTTTTTAGCACATAATGCTTTTGGCAAACCCATGTAAGAGATCTTGTTTGTGATAGAGAGGCTCTTGAAAAGCCCTGGAAAAATCCTTGGACTGATAAAGAGACATTTTCTGAGAGACCCAGGGAATTCTCAACCCTTTGATGATAGTAGTTGATCACCACAGTAGTTCATCAAACAGACAATATTAGAGTGGACACTTTAGTGCCTGGCTTTTTTTTTTATGGCATCCAAACACATCCCTCCAGCACATTCCCACTTCTTTTTCCTGCTGGTGTGTCCAGGTGCCAGCTGGCCTGTTGTGCACTGCTGGGGCCAACAACAAGTCATTAAAGTAGTCTTAAAAGTGGGAAGGATTTGTTTGGCAAAAGAGTCATTTGCCTCCATCCTTCCCTTTTGAATGGCATCCACAATGCCACAGAGGCAGGAGAGTCTGGTAAGACACAGATTTGGAGCCAACTCCCAGGAGTGGAGGGAGTGTTTAGCTGTAGAACACGGGCTTGCGCAGCACACGCACCACATTGTAGGTGTTCAGCCCTGGGGCGTCAAAGCCAGGGGACAAACCCTTGCGGTCAAAGGGGTAGAAGTTAAAGAGCTGCCCATTCTGTGTCTCCAGTGAGATGGAGGCCGAGCCCAGGTGCAGAACACATGGGAACTCCTTGTCGAAAACGACTTGGAAAACGCGATCTTCCAGGTGGTGGAGCTTGATTGTCCGATACTTTTCAGGGATCAGCTCTTCCACATGAGGCCCAAACTGCTGCATGAGGAGCACCCCACCAATTCCAACCTTGATCTCATAGAAAGTCAGGTTGGAATAGGTGTAGTAGCCAACATAGGGGATTGGGTTTGGAGGAGGAACCAAGCTTTTGTCAGCCTCTCTGAACGCTGTCTCCATGGCAGGGATGAGATACTCGTATGTCTGAGTCACAATGTCCCCACCCTGCGGTCTGGGCCCTGCCATCAGCACAATGAAGCTCAGGCGGAGCTTGGGGATGAGAGAGAAGGTTGCTGAGTAACCATCAAGGTCCCCGTCCTTCCTGATGACATCATATCCCAACTGCTCATTAATCTCCCAGGGCGTGCCTGTCTTGTTAGCAAAGTATTCCACAGAGCACTTGAGCAGGGGTGTCAGCATCGTCTTCACCGTGTCGGGCTCGAGCAGCCGGCGGTGGTAGGTGCCCAGGAAGACCATGGCCAGCTTGGCCAGGTCGGCAGCCGTGGAGTACATCTGGCCAGAGGGCCGGTACCAGCCCAGGTCGTAGAGCGGGGCTGGCTGCTGGCTGCCGTAGAAGCCCACGGCCATCTGGGAGCGGACGGGCGCCGTGATGTCAAACCCTGTGTCCTCCATGCCCAGGCGCTCCAGGATGTTCTCCGAGATCCAGCGCTGGTACTGCCCTTCAGCCGCGTGCTCAGCCAGCACGTGGGCCATCAGGGAGAAGGCCAGGTTGCTGTAGTGGCATCTGGAAGGAAGGGGAATATATTGGGATCAGCTGTTCATCAGTGATATGCAAAATCAGTGGCTGGGTCTCTCTTCTTTAGGGAAAAATTCACATTTTGTGGAATGGCAGATGAAGGGGAGACAGAGAAATATCATGGGCCGAGGGCTATGTACAAATCATGAACAGGATAGAAATGCTGGGAATGTGCCTTGAGCTGTTTTATTTTACAGCATCAGTCTCAATACATTGTTATGACAATGGGAAGATGCCATCAGCTCACATCCCAGGCAGCAGATCAAGAACTTAATGTTACAACTTACTTTAAAAGTTTTTTGACCAATCACACCAAGCAAAAGCACAATGACAGTAGTTCTATCCAACCACTATAAGCACATGTACCTGTGGTTAAAACAATGCTTGCTTATTTTGAATACGATACCTGCTTGTAAGCCTTAAAACACAACACACAGAGCTCCATTATTAAGCTTAAAACTTCCAAATATCTTGCTAGATATATTTTTCTGCAGTTTAGGCAGTTATTCTAGACAAGTGTTAATACACAGACCATTGTTCTATTTGTCCTTAGTTTTCTACTTTGTGCATAATTTTTCTGCTGACCTGTCTCATGGCTCTGCTTAGCTCTAATCACAGCTCTGCTGTCTCTGAAGCCTGTCTTTTGCAGCTTTCCCAAAACACTCTGATTTTATGGATTCCCACAAGAAAAGCTGCATGTTGTTGCCATGATTTGTTGTTAAATCAAGAAAGAGAAATGTTTTTCGGGAGCATCAGCAGAGCTGTTTAACCCTGATGTACAGAGAGAGCTGGAGATGGAAAAGAAACAACTCCTCTATATTTGCATAACCTGACTTGCTGTTTATAATTGTTCACCATCCATTATTTTTAAGAGCAGTGTGGGGAGTTCCAGGTGCTCACCTTAAAGGTCTCAAAATCCTGGGTAAACCTCTTTGGGGATTTGCCATGGGATAATCACTTAGATACCTAAGCTACCTTAAGATGGTAAAAGCACTTAAAGAGCACTTAAAAGCCCACAAAACAGCATCCAGCAATGTGGAATCATTAAAGAAACTTGAGTACACCAGTCTTTAATAACCATCAAGTGATTTATGTCTTCAGAATTGAATGAAGTTTAATGGCATGAAAACATGAAGGGGCATTATTTTAAAAATACATTTTCAAAAGTCATTAAATTTTCAACCCTGTTGGTTTTTTTAATTGTGAGAAGCCACACATCTCATTGAGACCTATTTAGATCATAAATTTGGTACGACTTCAACCTTTTCCAGCCCATTTAGCTGAATAAAAGCATGGTGAGCATATATATTTTTACCCTAAGAACAATCACATTCTGTATGTAAAACCTGGTATCTGAAATGGAGCTGAATTTCAATATAGAAAAATATGTTAAAACATCTGTATCAGTGAATGTGAACTTCCTTTGGGAAGAATAATCTGTTAGCTGGGAAGCATAACCAGGAAAAAGGAGAGAGAGTGAAAACTACCAACATATCAATTAAATATAAGGTATTGAGAGACTGTGAGGGAATCTTCATGGGGATCATAAAATAAAGACACCAATAGAGATAAGTTACAATAAAGATAAAAATACCAAAGAAGATGATGGTACTAAAATCCTAAAATCCTTGAAGGAATATCTGTTGTGGCCTCCTACATGACGTGGGACAGAACTAGCACAAGTGTGTGGCAGATCCTCAGCCATCCTGGGTAAATTATTTCAGGCTGTAATTAATTACCAAACAATTTTGCAGTCTTAGAAGGTTTCTTCCCAGTTAGTATGAATCCTTTCCCTCATCTGCTGTCTACTGGATCCTATTGAGGGCTGTGGGGAAGTGTCCAAGGCCAGGTTGGACAGGGCTTGGAGCAACCTGGGATAGTGGAAGGTGTACCTGCCCATGGCACAGGGCTGGAAAAAAATGATCTTTAAGGTCCCTTCCAACCCAAATCAGTCTGGGATTCTATGAATCCATGATATTTTTTCAGTGTTTGCAACCCACGTAACAGACTTTTAACAAGATATAGGAATTGAAACAAGCATTCAGAGACCTTTTTGATAATTTAGAGACACACAACTCACCACAGACACGATTTTAACTGAAACCTGTGATGATTTACACTGTTTAAATTAAAGTACCTTTCCACTTTTGAAAACCTGCATCATTTAAGTCTCATAAAGTGAACTAAGTCAGTTTAATATGGCTCATCTGGGCTTAAAACACCAAACCCAACGCTGACACCTCCAGCAGTCTTTTTTCCCAGCCTCTGCCAGGCGTGTGGGGAGATGGCTGAAGCTCCCTTTGGGAGCAGCTGCCGTTATCCAGCAGCCATGGAGGCTGGGGATGGGGCTGACGGTGGAGAACCCTGATCCAGACCGAAAGCTCCTAAAGGAATGTGTCTGACCTGGTTCCTGGGTCGGCCACCAGGACGTCGTCCTTGAGCAGTGCGAGGGCGTCCTGAGTGCTGCCCTTCCAGAGCAGGCTGGTGGATCGCAGCCTCCGGGGCAGACCTGGGCCACACAAAGAGAGAAATCATGGAAATGATGCCTCTGGGGAGCACAGAACAAAGGCAAAGTTCAATGGCAAAATGGAAGCACCAGTGGTGGACACGAGAGCTGTGGAAACACAGCAAGGAGCTGCTCCTGCTGGGCTGCAGGACATGGCATCAAGGCATGGACTCCTGACTTCACAACATGGCATCAAGGACATGGCATCCAGGCATGGGCTCCTGATTCTGCCTTACATAGGTCCAACCCCAACATCAACTCTGGGCTGCTGCATCTCAGTGAAAATGCCTTGAGGAATGATGGAAATTTTCCTGGATCCCCAAGTATGGTTTGGAAAAGAGGGGCAAATGGGGTGTTGAGAAATCCCTGTATTTCCACGTGACTGCATTCCCTGGACTACAAATGTGTGTAACAGCTCCTTTTAACAGGATTTCATTCTTGACACTTCACAGAGGGCCTAACGTCTCTGCACAACTCGAGGCTTGGTCTAAAGTATTTTATCTTTCTCCTCATCTTTAGCAACATTTATTCAGAGTTTCTGAATATAGAAAAAACCAAGGTAACCACTTTTAATTATTCAGGGTTTCTAAATGCATAAAATATCAAGTTCCTTTTGCTTTTCTCACTGAACACGGATTCCCTAAAATTTTTGGTCGTACTTTTTTAATCCCCAGCTTCTCTGCACAGGATCTATGGCTTGCCTAGGCCAGAATTTGGATCACTTTTGGAATGGAATCCTTGCTGCCATTTGCAATGAGCTTCAATGTGGATGTTTGGGAGGAAATTGGGAAATGTATGTTTTTGACAGAAAAATGACTCACAATCATGTGCTCAGTGACCATGTCTTAATCATGGATTCAGTAAGGTTGGAAAAAACCCTCCAGGATCATGGAATCCAACCATTAACCCAGCACTGTCCTCTCCACCACTAACCCATGTCCCCAAGTGCCACTTCTCACATTTTTTTTAATGCCATCCAGAATGGTGACTCCACTACTTCCCTGAGCAATCTTTGCCAATGTTTTACAATCCTTCCTCTGAAAATTTGTTTCCTAATATGTGATCTAAGCATCCCTTGGTACAACTTGAGGCCTTTTCCTCTTGTCCTGCATCCTGGTGAGGCTGAATGAAGCTCCATTCTTTTTTGGCAGCAACACTTATTTTTCTCAGCTGGCCTGAACTTGGCATTTGAGCTGGAGTGAGAGCACTGTTCTGCCCCCTGCTCTGGGGTCATTTGTGCAGCTGCACGACCAGATAAGAGATGCACTGACATCTTCCAGTGGACAATGGGCTCCTTCATTATGTACTTGTCCCAGTGGCAGCAAAGAAAATGTTGGAGCAGTGGGAGAGTTCCCCAGCTCTGTGACAGCAGTGCAGTGTCTCCTTGAGGTTCATTGGAAATGATAAACCAGAGCATAATATAACCCAGAGTCATTGATTTCTACCTCATGGGCTGCTAATTGAAGTGACAAGCACATTGTTAATAATTTACAATCACATCCCATCCTGTCATTCGTGTGGACTGGAAAATCAGAGTCTTAACAAGCTGGAGCTTCCCTCCAGCAATGGGCCCATCGAGTGCTGAGGAGGAAAAACCTTTGGAGTTACTTCTGTAATTTGCAATGGAGAGACCAGATAATGAGGATCTATTACAGATCAGTTTCACTGGAAGAATTTAGATGAAACCCACTTTACAATGTGTCATGCAGTGGCTTTGATCCCAGTGCTAAGCAGAACTTATTCCTTTTTGGGGTTTGACACACAGCTAACAGAAAGTGGAACCGGAACATTCCTTTGATTTGCAGTTGGGATTTTGAAACTGTACACCTCCTTCTGCTGAATTGTCAGGGTCCAAGGGTTGGTGTGTCCTGTAGGGGTGCTCTGGGAAATTTGGGCCACATTCTAAAATCCAAAAATACACAGGAGCATAAAAGGAGCTGAGCAGGGGCACAAATCTAACACAGTGATGGAAACAATGGAAGGGCTGCACAGTACAAGCAATTATGCCACGACCAGCTACTCTCTTGACTAATGCTCCTTACAACATTTCTGGGGTGCACATCACACCTCCCTGGGTAACAGGAGCAGTCAGAGCAGCTTCAGGTGCTCAGAATAGTCAGAGGGGACCAGGCAGAACTGGTGCCCCTGAAGACAACATTAGGCTGGATGGAGCCACACCTTGTCTGCAGGGAGAGGGGCTGGGCAGGGATGTGGCCACTGGCCACTTTGGGTTGTCTGTCTGCTTCTTTCCAGGTTTCAGTATCATTCCATTTTGGGGAGCCCTCATTTTCATAGTGGCTTTCTTCAGATGATGCTGTACCCCATCCTGAGGTCCTGCAAGTTGCAGCCATGCTATTTTGATTTTGGGTCCTAATTTTAGGGCATTTATTCCAATCAGGAAAAATGCAAGTGTTACAGAGGTTGACAAAAATAACACACATGATATCAGCACAGTCTGGCCATTACATTTTGTAATCCCTCAGTCAAGTATTAGCAGCTTTGTTTCAGAGAAAGGGTAAAGTTCTTAGTCCTGTGAGCTCCTTCTCCCTTGATGTATGAGTTCCCCAATTCTAAAGGTAGCAGCAGATTAACACTTCTCTGACAGCAAATGCCAAGCTATAAATAGCTCAGGAATCCCGGATCAGGAACCACACTGACAGCTAAATTTAGCTCAGCAATCAAGGTCTTTCTATTCAAAGCAAAGAGATTTGACCCTCAACTCTACATCTCAGAAAAATGGGAGCGCTCAAGTCTGTAGTACAAAATACTGTTGTGCAATTGGAACCTGATTTCAGGTCATGGTAGTGAGGAGAAAGGAATCTGTGTTCACATGAAAGGAATCTGTGTTCACCTTGCAGAGGAAAAAGCCTGCTCATCTCAGCCCTTTCCTGGCAGGTGTCCTGGACAGGAGTTCCCTTGGAGGACTCATGACGCTGCTGACACCCTGCTTCCCAGAGCCCTGCCTGATCCCTGGGAAATGCACAGTGCAGGGTCCAGGGTGGGAAACAGCCTCCCAGCAGCTCCTTTTTATTCCTGGAATATGGTCTGCTCTCTCTGAGGTGTCTTTCCTGGGCAGAGACGCCCAGGAACACTCAGGGAGCTGCCTCACCTGAGAGCTGGCTGGCCATTCTGCGCAGGGTGACCAGGGATGGCTTCAGGGGCACCGAGCCTTTTTCCAGAAACACCAGGCCATCTGCTGTGTATCTCTGCTCTGAGTCCTTGAGCCTCCCCAGAGGGTTCTTGATAACAAAGTTCTGGGCATAACGCTCCAAGGGGTCATCAAGGGATGTGACTTTTCCTTCCTCCCACATCTTGTACAACATAATGGTGGGGAAGATCTTGGAGACACTGGCAATTCTGTTAAAGAAGAAACATTTGGAGAAATTTAGCATTGAGAAGCTTGTGAATCAAGAGGAAAGAAGAGATCACTGTGATTTTATGTGTTACACCTTTGTTCATTCCAGAGGGAATGGCTAAAACACAGGTAGGATGTTTGAATTAATATCCTTAAATGTGAATCTCTATAGACTGCAACATAACCTCTGAATGTCTCCAGCAGTGCAGTGCGCTGCTGATCTCTTTCTATTCACTTGGCATTCATAAAATGACATAAATTGTAAATTACTGGTTAGTAAATACTATAAACACACAGTTTACTGGAATTTTAATGTTAAAATCACAGAATCATTTAGGTTGGAAAAGACCTTTCAGATCACTAAGTTAGACCATTTACCCAGCACTACCAAACTGTCCCTAAATGTCAGATTCCCACAATTTTTGCATCCATCCAGGCTGTCCCTGTGGCGCAATCGGTCAGCGCGTTCGGCTGTTAACCGAAAGGTTGGTGGTTCGAGCCCACCCAGGGACGTGGCCCTGGCTCCTGCCCTGTGGCAGGGGGTTGGAACCAGACCCTGAGTGTCCCTTCCAACCCAAATCATTCAATGGTTGTGGATGAATAATAGTGCAAGGTCATTTTACCATTATATGGTTGGGGCAGAAACAGATAGTCACAGCTGCTGAAACGGTCCAAAATTGTTCATTCTGAGGACAAAATTTTCTAGTCAGAGTGCAGCCCATGTTTCTTAAATAACACAGTAACAATTCACTGAAAATGGATCTTTAGAGGAAGAAAGCATTTCCTTCATCTTGGTTTTTAGTTTTTAGCACACATAAAGAGCTTTATTCTGTCTTAACCTAAAAAATAATGGCCAATATGAATTTGACTTCACTGGAACAATAAATAAACTTATGGGTCTGCTTTATGTGCTCTGCAGATATTAATCCCAAACATCAGTTTTTCCTTAACCAACATTTAATCTTATTTTTTTGATTCCTGTGGCACTGTCTCCTGTCTGCTCTCCAAATCTGTGCCAGCTCTTGGTCTTCAGGTTTGTGCCCTGGACATGAAGCCATTCCCATGTAAGGAACCATATGTTTTCAGGTTCTTAAGGGTCTTTGCTATTCTATTTTAAAATATTGTCATAATTAAATTAAAAAAATATATAAATAAATCCAAAGTAACTCAGTAAGCTACCAGCATATAACAATCTGGGAATTCACTTTGTCCCACAAAGTTTCAGCATAAGCCAGCAGAGTTTCCTGCCTGGACCTGCAGTTTGTGATGGTGTCTCTATTGCAGGTACCTGTCACCATCACATTTTCTGGAAAAATCCCCTTGCCCAGGATTCTTCTCCTGGGAAGCTGAAAAGCCTCAGAGAAAAAGGAGAACAATGTTATCTCATTTGCTTCTCCTGTGTTTTGCTGCTTTGGAATGTGGTTGGAGATTGTTTATCCAACGGGTGATTGTTTCATTGGTTTCTGCTGTGAATTATTTTGACTCTTTGGCCAATTACTGTGTCAGACTCTGGAGAGAGAGTCACGAGTTTCATTATTATCTTTTAGCCTTCTGTAAGTATCCTTTCTGTATTCTTTAGTATAGTTTAGTTTAGTATTCTTTTATATAATATAGTATCATAAAAAATAATAACTTAGCCTTCTGAGAACATGGAGTCAGGCACATAATTTCTCCCGGCCATGGGAGTCCCTGTAAATAAGGAGGTAGCTGCTCTCCGTAGGTGTGTTCCCTCTCCTGGCTCTCACTCTGTGCCAGGAGCCTCACCTGTAGATGGTGTACTCGTTGGGTGCCCCCGAGGCAGGGTCGGAGGCGTTCCTCTTGCCAAAGTTGCCCGTCCAGAGCACGGTGTCGTTGTAGATGGCGATGGCTGACATGGCCGGCAGCCCCGAGCTGTGCATCTTCTGCCGCAGCATCTGGTCCACCTGGGGAGAGAGGGAAACCATGAGCTCCCAGAACAAGTCTTACAATGCATCCACTCTGTACCAAGAAATAGAAGGCTCAGATCACACACCCGCATCACTCCCAAGCACTTGAGAGTGATCCTATGAATGGTGTTCTGGAAAAAAAAGTATTTTAACTGTTTATGTATTTCTTCTAGAATTGCTTCTGTTGAATTATCCTGTGTTCTTTTTCAGTCTACATATCCATTGTGTAGATGAATGTGGTGCTTATGCTTGTAATATTTATGATTAAAACCAAATATCAACATGTAATAATTGCAATTTCTTCTTTTTTAATTTGCATTCCGCACATCTGTTCTTTACACTGGTGTTTTAGGGCCAAAGATGTATGAAACAAAGACACTTTTCAGATATCACATGACACTTTCAACGCCATGAAACACTTTGGAGTTTAGGCTCTGTGTTGGTGTGATTATTTTTCTCTTTCATTCACGAATGGGACAGAACTGCTGGGATACGTTCCTTGAGCTTTATTTGCAGCATCAGCCTCATTACATGGCTGAGACGATACAAAGATGGCAAAGCTCACATACAGCCAGCAACAACCAAAGATTTCTTTGTTACAGAACATTTCAAAAACTTTCTAGCCAATAGCATATTGCTAAAGCTTACAGACAATTGTTTCAGCCAATTACTGAAAGTACACATACACCTACTTCACAAAATGCTTGCTTGTCTTCTTTCTATTAACAATACACAATACTCCATTACTGAGCTTAAAACCTTCTTCTGTTTTGCTAAACATATTTTCCTACAGTCTTGAGGTCTATCTTAACCAAACCTAAGATTCAAGCTATTGTTTAATGTCCTTGCTTGCTATACAATTTTAACATTTTCTACTTTCAGACTTTACATCTTCAACTTAACTTTAAGTTTTCTGTTCTTTCTACTTCTAAAGTCTACTTTTCCCAATTTCTAGAAACCTTTTTTCTTTTACTATTTCCCTCGGGCTTCTGTTTAAACCACAACCTGAGAAACAGCTCTGAGCAGCTGAAGGGCTGTGATTGCTCCTGGCTCCCTGTTGTGTCAGGGCCATGCAGAACTCTTCACTGAGCTATACAGAACTCCTCATCAGCTCTGCAGCCACCTCCTGCAAGCAGAATCCATCAGTCTTGTCCTTTTGGGACTTTTTCAAAGCTATGTCATCATCTTGCACATATCATTTGCATTTTCAGGCACACATTTTGTTTTGCACACCATGGTTAAGACATAAGAAATGCACTTACAGACCCAAAATTTGAGGTAAGAAAAGCCAAACTGAGTCATGTCCTTGGGACCTCTTCACTGAATGGCCAGGGGAAGTGCACTGAGAGCAGCAAGTGGAAACATCCAGCTTGTGTCCCGCCCTTCTGTCAGGGTCCTTTGCCCTCCCTCCCCATGGACCAGTGGCCTATCTGGTACATCTGTAGGTGTGTTCATCTGGTGCCCCAGCACCTCCTGAGAAGGTTCTGCTCTCATGGAGACCATGAAAAGGGACTTTGGACAAGGGATGGAGTGCCAGGACAAGGGGGAATGGCTTCCCACAGCCAAAGGGCAGGGCTAGATGGGATACTGGGGAAAAAATTACTCCCTGTGAGGGTGGGCAGGCCCTGGCACAGGGTGCCCCTGGATCCCTGGAAGTGTCCAAGGCCAGGCTGGATGGGGATTGGAGCACCCTGGGACAGTGGAAGGTGTCCCTGCCCATGGCAGGGGGTGGCACTGGGTGAGCTGTGAGGTCTCTTTCAACCCATGTCAGTCTAAGATTCATGTCAACAATCAAGGTCCTCTTTTTCTCAGAGTCTGACCTTTAGACCTGCCTGAACCTGCAGACAGGCAGAAACATCATAAAAGTGGATATGAAGTGATGGGAATTGAAATTCAGTGTGGATAAAGCCAGGTGTGTGCAGGGAAACTGCCCAAACCTGGTCCTGAGCTCTCAGCAGCAGGACCTCAGGGCTGTGGTGGATGTTCCTATGGAAACATTTTCTCAGTGCCTTAAGGCAGATAAAAAAGGCAAATAAAATAGGAGGGATTATTAGAGAAGTAACATAAAATACAACAGAAAACATATTTTTTTCACAGTATAAATCCCCGATTCACTTGCACATTGAATATTGTTTACAGTGCTGATTGCCCTCTACTTGTGAGAAGGAGCCAAGTGAGAGAGCACGTGAGAGGGGCTAAAAATAGGGAATGTCCTGTCAGAGCCTGATTATTCTTATGGTCCAGACAATCAGAGCAATGCTGCAGTATTTCCTCAGAGCTCATGAAGCCTGCCAGAAGTTCAGGCAGTGCTAAAATGTCAGATCCATCTCATACTGAGAATATCATGACAGTGTATTACACCCTCTTCCAGACAGATGCAGACCTTCTTTCCCTTTCCCTTTCCCTTTCCCTTTCCCTTTCCCTTTCCCTTTCCCTTTCCCTTTCCCTTTCCCTTTCCCTTTCCCTTTCCCTTTCCCTTTCCCTTTCCCTTTCCCTTTCCCTTTCCCTTTCCCTTCCCCTTCCCCTTCCCCTTCCCCTTCCCCTTCCCCTTCCCCTTCCCCTTCCCCTTCCCCTCCACTCCCTTCCCTGGAATTATGTATAAGCATCTTTTTAATTTTTAAACAGGGCTGTGGGGAAAGCCAGAAAATAAAGAAAATGTGGCCCTGGCTGATGAATTGGAACCAGAGAGCACCTGAGCCAGGTACTCTCCAAGACATGAAGGCTGCCTAATAATGGACCAGATGCAAAGAGCCATTATTTTTTGCAGATGGAAGCTCACCATACCTTCTGATGGACAAGTGATGTTTGTCCATCCCAGCTCACCCTCTGGACAAGAGAACTGCTCCCTGAAGGAGCTCACATCCATCCCTAGGTTTGCATGTTCTCCCTTCCTCAATTCCCCCACCTCCTTCCCCAGGATGGCAAAATCCCCCATCTCCCCCGCAGAAAAGCAGCCCATAGCTGTGTGTCCCTCTGCTCCCTCCTCCCCACAGACCTTCTCCAGTGCTTCCTTCAGGATGGGGAGGGGGTGGTCCAGTGGCACTGGCTCAGGATAGCGGGGACACATCTGCACAGCTTCTGACCTCACCTCCATCACGGATGGATCTGGAAAACAGTTCAGGGTGACATAGGTGACCTCAGCAGACACAAGGGCAAGCTTGAACCTCACCCAGCAGCCCCCAGGAGCTTTCTTGCTTGCATTGTTTAAGGGATATTTCTGCATAGGGAAAGGACATGGCTGAGTTATTTCTGTCTGATGTAAACAGGGCTGGCAGGGGCACTGTGCCCTGTTATTGCTTATTCCAACATGGGATGGACACAGGATGTGCTTCAACCAACTCTGCAACCTGGCACAGTAAAGAACTGGGCCTGCAGAAGACTCTGGAGTGCCTGGCAGTGGGTTTAGCCTCCTGGAAGGGTCTGCCCATGTCTAAAGGGAAGTATGAACTGGGGTTCAGGACAGCAGTGACAAAGAGTCATCCCTGTATGATGACCTCAGAAATGGGGCCAGGAGTGACCTGTGAGAGCCACCTGAAATCCAGCACTACAACACTTGGTAGGCCCCATATCCACTTCATTGTCTCCTGAATCAGCTGCATCCTCCATATCCCACAGACAGCTTAAATTGTTGTGGCCAGCAAAGATCTTTAAACTTTGAGAGAGATGGGAACTCCCTTACTTGGAGGCACTATTTCCCCAGCTGATCCCAAGGTGTTCATAAATACAGATACCCTGCTCTGACAGCTGGGACAAAGTGCCATCTTCTTGCTTACCAGGTGAACATGAAGCATCAGAAATTGGGATGAGGAGAGAAATGGAAATCTTGGAGATGGACAGGCATGGATACACACAGCCTGCAGGCAGTCTGGTACTCTGAGATAAAAATGTGTGATTTGAAACCTTCTCAACCCTTGGTCTCTGAAATACTTCTAGCACCTCCATCGTGGATTTTATGACACCTTTCAGCTACTTAAAACTCTGATCCACTGACACTGTGTATATTTAATCCTTGTGCATGCAGTGCCTTGAGTGGATCAGTTGAGTTTCCTATAATCAACAGAGGAGGCCATGGAGATGGTCCATGGGCTGGAGCCCGTCTGGAGCCAGGCTGGGAGAGTTGGGGGTGTTCTCCTGGAGAGAGAAGGCCCCAGGGAGATTTTAGAGTCCCTCCCAGGCCCTAAAGGCGCTCCAGGAGAGGGACCTGGGACAAGGGATGGAGTGACAGGACAAGGGGGAATGGCTTCCCACTGCCAGAGGGCAGGGATGGATGGGATATTGGGAAGGGATTCCTGGCTGTGAGGGGGGATGCTGAGGCCCTGGCACAGGGTGCCCAGAGCAGCTGTGGCTGCCCCTGGATCCCTGGAAGTGTCCAAGGCCAGGCTGGATGGGATTTGGAGCAGCCTGGGGCAGTGAAAGGTGTCCCTGCCATGGCAGGGGTGGAACAGAATTGGATTTAAGGTCCATCCAGCACAAACCTTTCTATGATTCTGTGATTCCATGAATTCTAGTGTGAACCAGAAGGCTTAAGCCTTGGGGAAAGATTTGGGGAACAGGAAAGAGAGCAAACCTAAACTGGAGTAATTAACTGGAGTAACAACAGGAAAAATAAAAGATAAAGAATCTAAAATAAAATGCCTCCTTAGCAGTTATCCAAACCTAGGCTAGGAGTGATGGAGCTTCTTTGAACCGCAGCAGAGTGATGTGGTGCCTCTATCGACCCAGCCTTCACCTCCTCTGTGGCCTTGCCTTATTGCCCTCTGGGGAAATCTCTGTTTGGGGAAGTGCTCTTTGGGAAGAAAGCTTTTATTAGTCTTCCAAATCTCTCTGGCACACCACAACCAAGGCTAAACCCCCTACTCACTGGGCTCCACCTTGGGGAGGCTGTACTGCCACAGGAAGCAGCCGGTCATGGCCACGGACAGCAGGAGGAGGAACACGACCAAGACATGGATCCACTTCAGCTCCATGGCAGTGAGCTTGAGGAAGCTCCGGCTGCAGGGTGCCTGCTGGAATGGAAAAGGAATGGGCTAGGAGAGAGAAAACACCTGCTGTGTCAGCTGGGAGAGAGGCCCCTGTGCTGGAGAACAAGGCTGCTGCAGGGACAGGACTCACCTGGTCTGGTGGAACCGTCCCTGCCCATGGCAGGGGGTGGAATGGGATGAGCTTTAAGGTCTCTTCAACCCAAACCATTCTGGGATAATTTTGGTAACATTGCTGAGCCAGGGCAGGGCAGACCAGTTCCTGTTGGGGTAACTGGAACCAGAAATTACTTTCTGGCTTTCAGTGAGCTCTGTGAGCCATTAACTCTCTTCCCCTTGGTGGTTCTTGTGGAACACCAACTACTCCTTCTGCCTTCTCCCCTCCCTGCAGGTGAAGCTCATCATCTCAGCCTGGCAGGAGTCTCAGTTACAGCTCTCACTTCCTCCCTTCTCAATCACCATGACTTATTCCTGGATATCTTTCCAGCCCCTTTTTCCAGAGTCCAGCATCTGTTCATGGCCGTCACCAGCCAGACCATCTGAGCAGATCCAGCTTTTCTAGATGAATGATGGAATTTTTCACTCTGTGCTGCCCTTACCCTTCTCTGTTGTGCCTGTAAATCCCATTCTATCACGTACCATCTGTAAGCTTGGCATTTACAGATGCCATGTTTTGGAAAACTGCCTGATATTTGAGTGTGTGCAGCTCTCACAACACTGGAGACCATCCAGGTTGGTGAGAGAACCAGATCAATGTTGAAGAAAAACAAGGAACAGATGACAAATGAGGAGGTGCCTGAGCCTGAGCTGTGCTCCTTCACTGCCTGCAGGAGGTCAGGAGGGTGCTTTTGAAAGTTTGGCAATTAATGTTATAAAACATATGGCCTGCCATTTGCATCCAATATGCTCCACATTCCTATGCTGTTTCAGGTTGTCTGGACTCACTTGTAGGATAGACAGATTGAAATATTCCCTTTAGATTCCCACACAGCCTTTTCCCCCCCTGTTTTGGAGATACAGGATAGCTCATGCAAAAGCTTCTGCAAAGCAACTGAGCCTTGTCACTCACAGCCAGGGAATCTGCAGAGCCTCTCCCAGGCTCGCACATGGTTCTGTGGATCCAGCTGGGCTTTCCAGCCTTCACTGGAACTCTGAGTTGCAGTTCCACTTTCTGCATAATAACAGAAATATATCATAATTTTTTCCTGAAAACCTTCAGCCTGGTCAGGCATTCCTATGGGAATTTCTGAAAGCAGCTTATGTTAGGTTCTTCCATAACATAATTAAAATTCAAGGATGGCTTAAGACTGTGCAGATGCCTGCAGACCCAGTCACACCTGAGCCTGCCTGAGCGCTCCACGTCCCTATTCCAGCCTGTGACTTGTTTCTAAATAGGGGAATTCCATCCTGACACCAATCCCATTCTTGTTTGGATATAACAACCTCCTTCAGAGCCTTAGCAGGCAGGAGATTCCATCACCCAAGGAAAAGCCTGTGCTGAGATCTCTTTAATCCCCTCACACTGTGGCTCAGTGTGTGTTCCAGGATGTCACCCAGAGCTGTTTTCCTGCAGCAAGGAGTGGGACAGGGCCGTCTGCTCTGGAGTGCTCATGGGTGACTTCCCTGGGTTTAGTCCCGTCTTAATAACATTTATTCCTCCTCCAATTTTCAGTTCCTCTGACCATTTTCCTGCCTCTTTCCTTGCTTCACTGAGAAGCCCTGCTTCCTGAGTGCCAAAGAACAAGGTGAGAAGACGATATTCCTCATCTCATGGACTCCAGACTCCCTGGGCCACTAACTGAGGACACAAAGATACCAACTTTGAGCTCATCTTTTAGTCAAACTTATCCTTCTGTCCAAACTCCCCTTTACTTCATGTGGATCATGAGTGCCCTGAAAGGATTTTTTCCTTCTCTGCCCTGCGATCTGGTGGGAATGCAAAGAAACCCTGGAAATACCAGGATTAGAGATATGGATCTCCCTTATTGATGGGACATCAGATACCCGAATGTGTGAGGAATATTCCTCCACCCAAACTACTTTCCAGGGAAAATACCACTTATTCCCAGCACCTGGGAGACTGTCAGGCAAGCAGATGGATAGATCCCCATAAGCCCTCCTCACAATTCCCACTCCAGGACCTGTCTGGTCCTACCTTCCTCTGGTTTCCCCCTGACTCTGTGTCTCTGTGACTGTCACAGCTCACAGCACAGACACAGCAAGGCAGGGGGAGGGGGACACCGAGCACTTAAACACATGCAAATGAATGCAAACACTTGCAGGAATGAGCACACACAGCTTCCCATGGGGACAGCCTAGCAGCAGGATACATTCTTTTCCCCCGAGCTTTTCAAAATTAGGATGGGGAGAAAAACTGGGGATTCCCATTGGACCACCCAGGTCACAGTCCTGCCCCACCAGGGTTGCTCGGCCAAGGCACAGCTCAGCAGGGATTAGAGAGAGCCAGAAACCCCCCCAGCCCCTCACGTACCACCTCCAGGAGCTGCCTCAGTCCCAAAGGCTGCTGTCCTTCCTCCAGGCGTGTGGGCACTTGAGCAGCCCCATCCTGGCCAGCCTCAGCCCGGGCAGGGGGCAGCAGGAGCCCTGGGCATCTCCCAAAGGCAGCTCTGCCTCAGGGGCAGGCGCTGCTCTGGCACCGGCTGGAGCAGCCCCCTTTCTCTCCCCACGGGTCCCGCTCCAGGTTTATCTTCCCAGGAGTCCTGCTCTGGCTTTCCCCATCCATTTGGCCCATCCAGGCCCTCTAGAGAGTGCTGCTGATCTCCCCTGGGAAAGGAGCTTAAGTGACAGGGACAGCATGGCATTTGCACAGGAAAGTGCCTGAGAGATTGGATGTTAATTCTTCCTAATGCTTCTGTGCCATGTGTGTGAATCACAGCTGAAACCAGGAGGGCTTCACCGTCTATTTATAGCAGCTTCATCTCCTCCTGACATCTGAACAGGAGGCGATTAAGTGGGAGAGGGCCGGTCCAGGAGTGCCTCCAGCCAGCCTGGGGAGCTGCTCACGGGGAGGGGACACAGAGAGAGCTAAGCTAGGAGCTCAGGCACTCTCTGGGCTTAATCCTGAACAGCCTCCTGCAGTTCTCCCACAGCGACACACAAGGGAGTCATTCCCAGCTCCCAGGCCCACAGAACAGAGATGGAGCTGAGATTTCTCCCGCCTTCTCTGCCAGGCACTCTGAAGGATAGTGGGAGGTGCATGAGGGCATCCTTACCCGCAGCTGTAACCCCTCCATGGCTGCTCAGGAGGCTCTTCTCATCCCCTGTGCTGCTGGTCCCCACAAATAAAGGGCTTATAAACCCCTGTGATGGAGAGAACACAGTTGGTGCAGGAAAAAAGCAGTCAGAGCAAAGAGGTAACAAAGCCCAGCTCAGGTAAGAAGGGCTGCAGGGACAAGACTGGCTTTGGGGTCGTGAGGGACATAGGGGGACATGGGGGTTGGAATGAGGTGGTCCTAGGTGGTCCTAAAGGTTCCTTCCGACCCAAACCATTCTATGAGATAAAACACAGCAGCCACAAAAGTCCTCAGCACGATCTTCCCTCTCTCTGCCTTTGGTCTGGCAGCATCTTGTGTTTAGCCCTAAGCTCTGGGAGCTCCCATTTCTCTTGACCATCCTCACTTCCAAACATAAGAAACTGAAGCTTTGAGACCTTCAGGTCTGACACATTTTCACTGTGGCTCCTCCACAGGGTCCTTCCAACCCCCCTGCAAGGCTCCTTTGCCCTGTTCCCTCTACACAGCCAACACCCCCTTACCCTTGGGAATCCCACCCACAGCATGGTTGGAAGTGCCAGGAAAATAGCACCACCACCACCTTTCCCAAAAAATCTGCCATAAAAATCTCCCTCATCCATCTACCTGGCAGCAGCAATTCAATCCCCAACCCCCCAAAAAGAGCTCTTACCAGCCTTGCTGCTACCTCCGGCTTCCAGCTGAGGAATTGGGGGCTGTCCTGCAGCTGCAGATGTTAAGAGCATCTGAGGCACTAATCCAGCTGCCAGCCTCTCTGAGTACAGATTAATGGGCCAGGCCTCACCCCTCCACAAGCAGCACAGCATCTGTCCAGCCATGCAGCCAGAGGGAGGATTGCTGGTGATTTCCTGGCTCCAGTGGTACTGCAGAGTGGAAAATGAGGAGCTGTGGTGTGGGTATCCATAACATGCTATAAACTGGAAATGTTGATAATAGACTGCTATTATATTAATGTAATATTATATTATTAATATAATATATATATATAGAATAGAATAGAATAAATTACATAATATATTATGTCATAGCATATCATATTTATATTATATTATATTATATTATATGATATTATATTATATTATATTATATTATATTATATTATATATAAAATATATCATAAATGCTCTCTAAGGAGGAGGGCATGGCTGTGCACTCAGTCACATTCCAGATCCAGGGGACTGTGCACCTCAGGAGATCCTGCCATCCTATTCCTTCTTCAGATCTTCACAGGTAGGGGCTTTCTCCCCAGTACCATCCCTTCCTTCCAGTATCTCCAATAGCATCTCAGAATCTGACAGTGCCCAAAATATCCTGTGGAACCTGTGCCTGTGCCCCAGAGCTGTGCCCAGATTTTGGTGATTAGAGATCAGGCTCCTCATGGTTTTGTCATTTCCCATTTCTGGGAGCTCTGGTTTTCTTCTGTCCCTGCTACCAACTTTTTTATGGTGGCCTCATGGCCAGTTATCCCACACCTACCAACAATCCCTTTGTCCTGGGAACCCAGTCAATGCCTCAGAAATGTGAGTCTGGGCTGTCAAAGGTCCCTTGTAGTGGCCACTGCTCTGTGGGGCTCCATCTCTGGTTATAAATGGCCTGTCTCCTCCATATGGAATATCTGTGTGCTTTTCTGATAGACCTGCTGTGCCAAAGATTCTCTCCACAGTTTTGTAGTCTCTCTGTTAAGGGCATTCCTTTCTCAGTGCTGGGTCTATTTTCCCATCATTTTCAGGAATTAAGAGGGATTTAAATCCTTTTCTGTGTGTGCCTTGTGCTGACCAGGCTGTGCCTGAGGAAGCAGCAGGAGAGGAGTTTCGACCTCCCAGCCCCCAGAATAAAGAAATTCCAGTATTTTCACCAAATCTACTGATGGAATTTTAACACTCATCCTTTGGAGCCTGGGTCCTGGTTCTGACCAGGACAGTGTTAGTTTTTGCAGTAGCTTGGAAGGGGCATGACCAGGACCTGAAGGTTGTTCTGTACCAGCTTCTTGTGGAATCGCTGGGATCAGGGAACGGGACTCTTTTGGGAGAAGGGGGAAAAGTATCCCTTTCAGTTGAGGAAGTGGTTTAATATTGTCTATTATTGGGTGATTTTTTTCTCCCAGTGTATAGTTTCTTACACCCTTTGTCTTTAGTATTGTTGCTGTAGCTGTTTATTTTCTCATCTCATGGCTGTTTCCAGTAAATTGTTCTTATTTCAACCCTCCATCTTTATCGTTTATGCCTCCAATTGTCTTCTTCAGCCACCCACAGGTGGAGGGTGAGAGGGAAGCAAGGGGCAGCATGGGAGCACTAAACTGGAGAATTCCATTCCTAAACAGCCTCCCACGCCAAAGGTCCCAAGGGAGCTCACACATTGCTGGTAATGGATCTTTGCAGATGAAAGGATCCCAGATTGTGGTCTTGGGTCCCACCTGAGATGTCAAACTGTTAAAAAGATTTCTTTGCCCTTGGCTCCCTGCATCACAGTCTCAGACATCCTATTCCAGAAAAAAGAAA